CAACTTCGCGCCGCCATCGCCGCTGCGCCCCGCCCCCCCCGCCCTCCCGCGCAGCCCGCCCGCGCTTTTCACCGCTGCGCTGCGCCGCGTGCATTGGTTCCAACGCGCGCCCGACATGTCTAGCCGGCAGCGCAGACGCAGCGGGCGCCGCCGTGCCCCCGCGCTCGCAAGCCGTGCTCGATCAACTTCGCGCGTCGGCCAGGGGCGAGCGATTGCTTTCCCAGCGCAGAATCATTGGCAGTTGGCTTTCTCGCGGCAGCGCGCAATTTCGATGTGCAACCCGCCGCCCTTGACACTTCCTCGCCCCGCGCGCCCTGAACCCTTCGTGCTGCGACGTCGGGAAGACGGGGAAATCGGTCTGCTGCGCGCGACGCTTTCACCCTCTTCCGACTTCGCGCGCGCTTGCCACCGCCGCCAGCGCGATTGCCGTCGTCTGCGCTGCGCCGCGCCACGCGCTTTCGCGCGCCCATCAGGAGCTGCGCGTTGCCGCGTTACGGCTGCGCGCGCGCGTCGCGCGCCGCGCAAGTCTTGCAGCTGATCAAATCTGGTGATCGCTGTGGCCGCGCGCAGAAGTGTTCGGACTTCGTCGGCGAATCGCGCAGCCATGAAGCGCTGCGGTTGCCGCGCGCGCTGGGCCGATGGTCCCGATTCGTGAGGCGCGAGGTTGCTTGGTGCATAAACAATACAGCGCTTCGCGCGGTCCTGCGTTGATGGGTGCCTGCCAAGTTGCAGAGCAAGCGCGGCTCTGGAATCGTCCGCCATGCTAACTGCGCTGTCTAGATGCAGCGCCCAGGTAGCGCTTTGCCGCGCGCGATATCGCCGCGATGTAGGCGCGCTAGGCGAAGCGCCAGACAAGCGGGCTCTGCGCGCGCATGCATAGGTTTAGGCGTCAATCCAGCGCGGGCAGCCTTGCATTAGGAAAGAACAGTGAATCGTCATGGAAATGCGCGCGCCTTTGTTTTGCGCATGTTTCCATTGGAAACTTGAAGGCTTTCACCTGGGTCGCGAAAGAAACGCGATAGGTTCGGCAACGCGGGCGAACTTCTGGTAACGCCTGCGCGCGCACACAAGCGCGCCAGCCCAAAATGACATTGTCCTCGCGTTTAGGGGCCTGGGTCTACCTAGCAAACATGGAAAACATCATAATAGTGTGTTTCGTTCTGGTGTTCCGCAGGCTGCGCGCCCGCGCAGCTACCTTGCTCTAGTGCAACGAGTCTGCGAATCGTTTGGCTGGCATGCAGGTGTGGACGTGTAGTGCGTGCAAATTTAGAAAGAAAAACGAAACGCGATTTCCTGCACGGTTTGGGCTGCCTGGGGCAAAAACCACGGCTTCCCGCCACGAGCCTCCTCTGGTTTACAGCATTGCCCTGGGGCCCCAAATTGTCCTGGGGGCTCTCGATGGAACAGTTTTAGACAACTCCTTGAAGGCTGGTGCGGAGTGGCACATAGAGCACAACGTGTACGCGCAGATGGACTTGCGCAACGATTGGCACGTAATGTTCTTGGAGCTGCGACAGTCCAACTTGAGGCTCCTGAGGTTGGAGCCCAACGAGGTAGGGGCGACCCCATTCCCGATCGATCATGGCTTGTGGCGCAAAGTATGGCCGAGAGGTAGGGCCGCCGCACGGCGAGATGATTCAGATGCCGACGACGCCGACGGGGACAGCTCTGTATCCGACAGCTCTTATGACGACGAGGAGACCGATTGAAATGATCGGGCACTCTCTCCACGACGCTAAGAGGTTTTCTTCCGGTCATTTTTTTTTGTTTTTTTTCACCAGGTGCTGCGTTTCCTGAAACATCGTATTTGAAAAGCAGTGTTTGCGTTCAGTGACTCAGTGCTTTTCGTCTGTTCGCGCAGAGGACAAGCAGGATGAGGACCCCTCCAGCACCGCTTCCAGCACCCCCAGCGGGGATTCTGACAGTGAATCGCGTCCTGGGTGCTGATGGTGATGATGGCGCTGGAGGCGGTGGTGATGGCCTTCCACCTGAGCTGGGTGAGCAATACCCGCCTGTGCCTGCAGGCGCGCGCGCTTCTGAAGCAGAGGGGCTGCCTGTGCATGGCCCTCCACTTCCACCCCCTCCTGAGCCACCTCCACCCCCTGTCGCGCCCGCTGCAGGAGCAGCAGCCAGCTGTGGTGGCGGGGGGCCCGCCCTGCCATGTGTTTCCAGGGCTTCGAACGCTGCGCGTGCTATTCTTTTACATGGCGGTGGGCAGGTTTTATTTTATAGGTCCGATCCTCCCCGCTTCGTTTTTGCATGCTAGGGAAACGGCCACGGCAGGTGCACTCGAGAAAAAGCTGCTTACCGTTCAAAGCTCGAGAGCAGGCGAGGCCAAGGTCGGTCCCTGGGTTGGGGGGCTGCGTGGGTTGCCGCTGGCGCTGACTGCGCATCTCGAGCGGCACGCCAAGCCTACGAGCCTCCCCTTGGCGAACGTTGCGTGGCTCGGACTGTCCAGCGAGATGCGCTTCAAGACAGGTGGCGTGAGTTTGAAGAGAGCTGCGAACCACCCAAGTATCACGAGGGTGATGATGCCGAGCCAGAGGTCGTGCCTTGACCTACTTGGCAATCGGGCTGCTTGCATCTAAGTTTCAGCAGGTAGAGCCCCAATCTTTGCGGACATGATTTTTCGAATGGGCCCCAGGGGCCCCAAAAAACAAGAGGTGATCGACATCGCATATGTTGTTATTCCGAGGGAGGGCGCGTATTGGGGATTTGCGTTTCTTCAGGATACGGTCTGACAAGTCCGTGGGCTTTGGGCGCTCGTTTTCTGGTTTGAGGGGCTTCTTATGTGATGCAGGGGGTAAACGCATCCGAGCACGGAACAACACTTTGGATAAAAAGCATCACCGAGAATTTGTGATACAGTAGTGGCGTGTTCGACCGATTTTACTTTGTTTCATTTGACCGTGCTGGTGTGGATCAGCGAGAAGGTTGCGCTGCCGTGGGAGTTTCGGCGCGAAGAACGCGCCTGGACGTTCCGTTTGCACTGTTGCTGTTGCTTGGAACGCCTGTCCACCCAAAGCCCGAACATGTAGCTGGCAGGTTTTCCAGGAGAAATGTGGCCAGCAAGTTTTCCAGGAGGAATCGCGCCGTTGTGTTCCAGGGGCCATGCAAAACGAACCCATGGGATTTTCCGCGTGCCCCATCACGGGTGCGGCCCGCGAGGCGGGCCTCTTGGCGGTAGGGGGTCGGCGGCTGCGGCGTTCTAAGCCATCGCATCAACAGCAGCTCGAGAAGCACCAACAGCATCACTAGCATCAATATCATCAGCAACAGTCGCATCAGCTACGGCAAACGCAGCCATGCATGAAACTGCAGCCGCTACATCAGACAAGCCAACATCAACATCAGCAACATCAGATGCCGCAGTCGCATCTTCTACGTCGGATGCAGCATCCACTTCATCAGATACAGCAGCTACAACATACACGAGAACAACCGTGCAGCGTTTAGCTGAGATGCGAGGGGTAAACGCGTGGGATTACAATAAGACCCTCTACTTGCCCTCCCCCCCCCCCACCCTCCCCATTCGGACCTCGAGGAGCAAGATGCCGTTGCATTCGAACGTATCCCACCCTCCTTCGGGCTAGCCTGAGCAAGGCCTAGACGAGAGTGGCGGCCTCCTGAGGCCTTGCCCCACTGACCCTTGCCCTCCAGAAACTGCGTGGGGGGTTGGCTGGCAGACAACAATGGGGGGAGAGGGTAATGCAGAACCTTCTCATGGTCTCCGATTCGCTCTGGCCCGAGCTATTTCAGAGAGCCGCGATCAGCTACCCAGCAAGCGCTTCGAGTGAATGCCCCTGATCTTTAAGATCACCTCCATATTATCCATATTCTGCGTTCTCGTTGAGAACAGCATCGCGATGGCATTCTGCGCGATATGCGCTGGGCCGCAGCCGGGCCCAGGGCTTTCAACTTGGACCCGCCCCCGTGGCCGAGACTTTCGAATCCAGGAAACCGGGGCCGGCCGGGTCACGATCGACAGCCGAAGATCGAAACGAGTAAGGGGAGGATGGGGAGGAATGGAAGGATAATGAGAAAGGATGGAGTTTTTTTTTTCCCCCAGGACAACTCGATCATGTGCAGACAGTGCCACTCCAAAATGATCTTGTTCCCCATGTTCGATGAGGGTCAGCCGGTGCGGGCTTGCGGCCAAAGCCCCATTCTGAGAGAGAAGTACGTCCAGAGCGTGGTCGGCAACCCGTCTGCGGATGCACTCCCGCGGCGCACTCCAGGAGACGACGAGGAAGTCAGCTCGATCCTCCAGCACTCGAGGTCATACTACTACGATCGGCTCATCGTCGCAGAAGACCAGCTGCGAGCTCTGACAAAGCTTCCACATCTGACGCCCACAGTTTTGAAAAAGATGGAGCCTCACCTGGCATGGGGCGTCGACGAGCACGGGAAGTTCAGGAGGTTTTACAGGATCATCGACGACATGGCCGATAATCAGAACTCGGGGCTTAGGCGTGAACGCGTCAGCTGGACGCCGGCGAACTCCCAGGAGCGCAAGTGGTTGGTATTGCAGAACAGTCTTGTCCAGGGTCAGGGATCTTCCATCTTCGAGTGGGCGGCCAACTCAGACTCGAGGATGCTCGACGAGAGCCAGGCGTTGGACGCCCCCACGCTCAGCGCAGTGATTGGCCTGGGCCAGAAGAAGAGCGCGGGCAAGAAGGCTGCAGATGGCGACGGTGATGACAAAGGAAAGCAGCCTACTCTTCTCCCGCTGAGAAGGTCCACCCCCAACGACTCGCCATTCGCCACGTGGGGTGCAGAAAGGAAGCGCGGCAGGCACAACGTGAACCCTCAATGCGACACGGTTGTGGCATCGTCGGCAATTACCCTAGTAGGTGAACCTCATGCGCCATCGCCCAGGAAGAGCTTGCCACCAGTGCCACTGATGGGCCCAGATGCAAGTGGCTTGACATCAGGCGCCCTGGATCATCACAATGCGGTGCACGGCTCCTCTGCGAGCAACTCAGGGCCAGGAAGTGCAGGTTCTCCGAAGGTGTCGAGTTCGAGGATTTCTTCAGCGGCGTCAGATGACGGCGCGGTCAGCGCGGCGGAGTTGCTGAAGACTTGCCCGCCTGATGTGCCAGGCAAGTGCGAGTATTGGATTCAGAAGAACAACTTATTTCAACATCTGATGGATGCCAAACTGAAGAACTGCATCAAGGAGGCCAAGAACCTACTCGAGACGATTCAAGGCAAAGGTGAGTATGCTGCGAACTACTCAAGTCTCAACGCACACATGAATAACGTGAAGACCGTCCTCGCCGTCACGAAGCAAAAAATCAAAGATGGGTTGGTGACCGACGATATGCTTCAAAGGGGGCTGAGGCCGATATTGGCCATCCCGAACGGGCCTGAGGCTTTGGGCCCCACCTACATGTTTGCGATCGTCGCTCGAAAGGTGAACGGCATCATCCCAGAGAATCCGAAACTCACTGTGGACCAGACGCGCCTCATCAAGGAAGTCTGGAATCGCTCCAAACCTTGGGCAGCCGTGATGGAAGTCATGGGTACCCAATTGGAAACTTTGACGACCTTGCAGGGCTTGGTGATACTGATCTTGGTATGGCTGGCAATGAGGACAACATCACGCGCGCGATCAATCCGAACGAGAGGTTGAGGCCGCGCAGCCCCTTTGACCCTCTCGACCCGAAGATGGCCCACATCCCCAACGAGCACTTGGGCGACAGGGTTTCGATGCAAGTTCAGCTCCTTGTGAACGCCTTCGCGCGCAACATGGTCTTGAAGGGCGACATCTGCAAGGACTCCACCGTCATGTTTGCACAGGTTGTCTGCGATGAATTGTCCAACGAGGTGCAGTTGGCCATGGCCCCTCCATGTTTCATGTCGGTCGGCAGGGAGTTACTTACCTCGCTCAAGCAAGTCATATTCCTAGAGGACCTGGCTAAGGAGACCGTTGGAGATACTTACGAGGAGCGCTACGCCGAGTTCGCGAAGTTCCAGAAGGATGTGTCTGAGAAGGTGCCGTCTTGGGGCATCGTGGGGTACGTGCATTCTTCCCTGGAGACTCCTTTTTACTGGGCTAAGCTGGTGTCATCCGCAAAAGAGAAGCACGAGGACACCTTGAGCACGCTGAAAGCCGTTCAGCCACACGTGGACACCATCAACGAATTCTTGTGTCTCAGGGACCGCACGGAGGACGTGATCGTGAATCTTGCGCCCTTGGGTTCGTTTGAGACATGCGCTGGTAATTGCCACAAGTGGCGCACTGTGGACAAGGCGAATACATCGCAGATTCTAGCCACTCGCCAATGTGTTCATTAAGGGCCTCTTGAAGTTCAGCGATGCCGTTGCCAAGATTCTGAAGAAGGGCGGTCAGTTTGGAGGGTCCGTCGACACGGCTATCTCACTACTGGGCAGCAGCTTGAAAGTTGTCCCCGAAGAGTCGGTATGTCGCGTGGAGTTGGCAACATTCGAGCAGTTCAATCAGGAGTTCTCAAGCGCGCAGCGGGGCCAGCGACTCGAGCAGGTTGCATCGGACATCATCGAGAACTTCGTGAAGAATGTGCCGCACTCAGAGAGCGCAGCGAAGGAGATCCTCTCGAAGCTCAATTCCCTCGAAGGCGAGATCTACACTGCCGAGTCCAGGGTTGTGTACTACCAGGCGTTGCAACATCTGGCGGTGTGGACGTTCACAAACGTGACCAACATTAACGAAGAGAACCTGCCCGACCTCACCGCGATTCTCGCGACCTTCAAGCTTTCGGCTGGTGTCGTGCGCAACGGCACCGATGTGCAAGAGGGTTTGCGCGACGACGTCCTCAAGCTGGGCTGGTTCTTCCAGGACTCCTGTCGGATGGGCGACTACTTGCGGCGCTTCCTCGGCCTCGGGGGCACCAGCGCTCAGCGAGCCAAGAAGGACGAGAGGCAGCACTACGACGCAACCGCGAGCTTGAGATCCTTGTGGAGGTCGGTGACGGGCACGTTCGCCAGGGTGACGGCGATGAGCGGGTTCGAGGATCACCCGGTGATCATGGACAAGTACTCCGAGGTGTTGTTCGAAGGTGTGGGCGCGAACCTGACGGACGTGACCTTGGAGATCATGCAGATCGAGGCTGAGAAGCTCGAGGCGCTGCAGGTCAGGGTCAAGCAGGGCGCTGGTGGCTGCGCGGGCGGGGCCCTGTGGCACGACGCGCCAGGCGTCGGGGAGGCAGACGCGCTCGAGAAGCTCGCGGGGATGGACGCGATGGCGGGCTTCAAGGCGAAGGAGCAGAAGGAGCTGAGGGAGGCCTTGGAGAAGGCTTGGACCCTGGGAGGATCAGGGGGAGGATGAGAGGCCGAATGAGGATGAGGATGAAGAGGAGGAGGATGAGGAGGCGGAGGAGGAGAGGGGGAGGAATCGGGGGGACTTGAGGAGAGGAGGGGGATGAGGAGGAAGAAGAGGTAGGGGAGGAGGGGGAGGCGGAGGAGGAGGAGGTCAGGAGGAGGAGGACGAGGAGTGAGAGGAGGGACGGCGTCGCGAGGCCACGGAGGCATACACGAGTGCCGTCGAGCACGTCGGCTGCACCCCCGACCCCGTTGTGCTCGCAGCGGGCGCGGATATCATCGCACGGGGCGTGGCGACTGAGGCCGAGGCGGTTGTCCTGCGCTCCGTGAGGAAGGTCAAGGGCAAAATCCGCCTCGGCCAACTTCTCACGATTCAGAACATGAAACTCGCCAAGCTCCCCCGCGGAGCGCAGCTGGCGCGCCCGCTCATCCAGAAGCGGCTGGAAGCCGCTAAGCTCGGGAACCACGTGTGAGCGAGGCCGCAGGCCTCTTCCTAGGCCCTCCTCTCCCAGCTCAGACCTCAGCACTTTAAGACTCAGCCTCAGCACCAACCCGCCCCAACCTACCGAACCCTTCTCGGGCATCGCCCAGCGGGGCCCCCAGCCCCCCCCCCCCCCCCACACACACACACGCACACACACACACACACACACAATCCCATTGACACGCGACCCCGACCCCGATCCCCATGAAACCTCAACCCATGCCCAAACCCTTAAAACCTCAACGCCACTTCACTCTCGCCCGCCTCCACTCCACCGTTTTGGCGGGCCATGTGGGCCCGCCGCGCGGGGGCCAGCTCGGCGGAGGCTAGCCCCCGCCGCCGGTCGGAGGATGAAGCCGCGAGGGGAACTTCGGCGCCCCTCCTTTCGGAGCCTCCAAGTGTCTCCTCCTCCTCCTCCTCCTCCTCATTCTTTTCCGTGCAGTGAGTCTTTGATTGTGCAGTTCATGGTATGAGCGCATGTGGGTCTGAGAGAGTCTGGCCGCGTGAGCGTGTCTTAGCACGAACGATTCGGATATTGATTGGGGCGGTCTTTGATAATCATGAATAGGCCGCCACGGCGGCATATCTTATCAAGTTTGGTGAACCATCATGCATGCCAACAGTACCACTCATAGCAAACGCATCCGACGGTACCGTTCAGAACGACCACCGCCAACCACGATGTAAAATTGCGACGACAGGGCAGATACCTCACGCAACTACTACAACCGCAAGCAATGCCTCATGTTTCCTTACAGGGCCGAACGATAGAATGATCACGTGGCTGACCGCAGATCTAATCAACTTTCGTTGAGAGTATCAGAAGCAAATCAAAAAGCAAATTCGCAATCAAAAAAAACATGAGACCTCCAACGATACCAAAAAAAGTCAGCCAAGAGACCAACGAAAAACGCATTTTAAAAGTCAGCCGAACGAGTGGTCACCGGAAGCTTTTTTTTGAGTGGTTTTGAATAAATAACATGATCATGCCCTGTAAGGAGACATGCAAACTACAGAGCTCAGTGGGATCGAGTGGCCCGGCCCCCCATTGATTCGAGGCTAGTCAGCACAACGTCTGCGCCGCCAATCGCGGCGCAGAGACTTTCGAGACGGAGGTGCTGAAGATGGGCGGCGAGGCGCGCGCGCAGAGTGCCGAGGTGAAGAGCCGCGAGGATCAGCGCTTCCGCCGGAAGAAGAACACGATGGGCCTGGCGAGGCGCATGGCTGCAGCTGGGATGTTGCGCAGGCGCGAAGAGAAGGTCGACGAGGTCGGGTTGTTCTGCGTGGTGAGGAAGGCCGAGGTGGTGGGCTCCGCGGTCGAGGTCGCCTCGAGGCTCGTCTTCGATCGGCGGCGCTCCAGCTTGCGGTGGCAGCGGCCGCGGCGGCGTGCCGTGGGGGGTGGGGGGGTGGGGGAGCGCCGCGTCTTATTTCGACGTCTCGGCGGAGATGAAAGAGCCAGGCGCGGAAATGAAGTTCGGCGCGGGCGACCTGCCCGGCTTCTATTGCGCGCCCAACTCCTGGGGAGTAGCTAGTGCCCTACTTCGCGCTGCCGACAGTGAAGGCGAGCGATTTGGTGCCCCCCTGCCCGGCGACATGGCGCTGCCGGGCCAAGGGGGGGGGGGGGGGCGCCCGAGTGGCGCTCGTGGGTTTCTCGCAGGCGCGCTGGATGGCCCAGGCCACGATGGGGGACTTGTTCAACGGAGGTCCTCAGTTGGGGATGGGCTGCTTCTCGGAGGAGCAGCGGCCGGCGGTGGGGGGTCATTCCCCCCAGATCTCCCGCGCCTCCTCGAGCGCGGGATCTGCGGGTCGGAGCCGAGAGTTTGGCGAGGTCCGCGGGTTTTCAGGTCCACGAGGGCGACTGCGCGGGCGGGGCGAGGATGGTCGGCGGGAACTTCTCGGGGGCTCGCCTGGAGCCGTACCAGGACAAGATGTGGGCGGCCGTCGCTGGGGGCGGGGGGATCTTGGAGAAGCAGGTGGAGAGCCCGGACGCGGTGGCGCGCATCGTGGGCGTCTTGTCCTGCGGCTTCCTGCTGTGCCGAGGTGCGCTGAGCGCGTTCGCGGAGGTGTAATAGCGGTGCTCGGATGCTCGAGGTGGGCCGCGCCGGCCAGTTCCGAGGGGGGTGCTCGGGGAGTTGGCGGTGGCGGCTGTGATCGCGCCGCCAGTCTCAGTCGACCTGGCCATGCCCTAGGGCCCCCTGGTAACGATGTCCGATGCCAGTTTGCACGGAGGAACCATCATCGGCGCGGAGAGCACCCTGGAGGAGCGGCGTCGAGAGGCCCGATTCGCCGTGCGCGGGTGTTGGGCGGTCTGGACGGGCATCTCCTCCTCCTGGGCTACCTGCGCGCGATGGACGTGCAGCCTGGGGGGGGGGCTACCTGCGCGTGATGGAGGGCGTCGAGCTGGGGGCCCGCGCCAGGGTTCCGCCGGCGCACAGCTACTGCAACGACCTGTCGAGGTGAGAGGAGCTCATGAGGTGAAGATGGGACGAGCCCGACCACGTCAACATCTTGCAAGTTAAGACTGGCCTGGCCTGCGCACTGAGGTCTACAAGATCGCGAGCGAGCTACGGCCGACGACATTTGAGGATCGTCGACTCCATGGTCTGCCGGGGTGGCACCGAGGGGGGGTCCGCCAGCGCGCCGATCCTGACCTTGCGCAGGCTGATGGCTTCTTTGGACCTGGGGCGCGGAATGGGGATCGGAATCGCAGCGGCGGACCCAGCCGAGGATCCCCGATCGGGCATGCCCCGAAGCACAGGGGCGAGACGGAGGTGGCGCTGCCTTCCCCGGCGGCGGAGGCCATAGAGGAGCTGGTCGATATCGCCGAGGGGGAACCGTTCGAGCCGCTGCGTTGCCGCCCTGCGATCTCGGCGCGGGCCCTGCGTTTTGCACTGCAGCGGGCGCGCGAGGGGAGGGGGCTTGGAGGCTTGGAGCACTGGTCGCTGCGACTGGCGGCCCTGCGAGGTTACCTCCTGATGCGCGCGAACGCGGGCGCGGGATTTGGGGCCGAGTTGGACTTGGCCGACGAAATGAACGCGAGGAAGTGGGAGATGTTCTCGGAGTCTTCCGCGGATGGAGGACATGCTGGGTCCTCGTGCGCCGCGTTGTCTCGGGTGCTTTTTCAGCCGGGAGGGCGCCCCTCCTCCACGGCTGCGAAGCTTCCTCTGGGGGTGACCTGGGCTGCGAGGACGGAGTCTTCGAAACGCGGGGGGCTGGGGGCTGCGCAGTTGCTGAGCAGTCTGGGGATCCCGCGGGTTATTGGGCTGGGGGTGGCGCTGTTTCGCTCGGACATCCAGCCGACCGAATTTGGAGAAAGAGCTAGGTGCGTGCCGGGTGACGCCCCCGCAGCGCACGCGGGGATGCCCAGCCCTGAAGATGGCGACCCTGACGGGCACCGCCGTGGAGATGGAGTGTTTCGCGCGGCCGTGCCCCCACGAGACGCACGCACCTGGCGAGTTTGTGCGGGAAGGGCGACCCGGGAAAGTTCCGAGGTCGAGTGGCGCAGTGCTATCCTTCGGGCTTCTGCCGGATGCTGGCGGAATGCCACCTGGGTGATGCGCTGGCCAACTGCCAGAGACGGGGGGTGGATCTGACCGATCACGCGATCCAGGAGATTATCGCGGACATGCTGGAGCGGAGGCGCCGAGATCCTGTGCGCTCGCAACCTCCATCCTTCGCCGCAGCCGCGGGTTGAGGGGGTCGTGGGCCTACGCGTGCGAAAGTCCTGGGGCGGGGCCTTCGGAGGTCGCCTGGGCTCAGCGTTGCCTCGCTCTTGCCAGATGGTGGGTCAGAAAGAACCAACCCTTCGGAGTGTCTAGGCGCTGGCCGCCGTGGGCAGACGGCGCCCGGCCCCAGGGGTCAGCGTCGCCACGTTGTGAGCTCGAAGTTTGGCCAGCCCCCGCCGGGGTGTCGAGGCGCCGGCCGCCCTCGCGGCAGAGGGCAGACGGTGCCCGGCTCCGAGGGCCAGCGTCGCCACGTGTTTCGCCGAAGCAGGGGCGTGCCGAGACTTGGCCGAGATCTCCGCTGGGCGCTGGCGAGTTCGCTGGCGTTCCCCGCGACGGCGGCCCCTGAGGAATGGCTGCGGCGCCGCGCCCAGGACAGGGAGGCTGGGGGGGGCCCATCGCCGGAATGAGGTGGAGCGCAGCCAATCAGTGGACGCGGGCGTCCGAGTGCGACCCGAGGTTTTTTTTTTTTTTTTTTTTTTTTTTTTTTTTTTTTTTTTTTTTTTTTTTTTTTTTTTTTTTTTTTTTTTTTTTTTTTTTCCCTTTGCTGCCCTTCTCGGTCGCGGCCAAGACAGCGCTGGGCTGCCGCGCCCCCTGCGTTCTGCGCTGCCTGCTGGGCGCCCTGCATCGCGACCTTGCGATGATGGGCCGCGACGAGATCGACTGCTCGGTCTGAGTCTACCTGGGCGAGCTCGCGGAGGGCGGGGAGGTCGGCCCCCGGGGGGGGGGCTTCGCGGCGCACGGCTTGGCCCGCGCGCGGCCCGACCCAGGCGCCGTTCGTGGGCGAACCGCGCGCTGAAGGCTTGGCACCGCATGCGCGCGGTCGGCGAGGGCGGACCTCAGCCGCTGGAGCTGTGCAGATCGAGACGATGCGAGTCTCTGGGCATGTCGAGGTCGCCGAGGGTTTCGGGCTGGCGCTGGATGCTGGCCTGCGCTCGGCCGAGCTCCTAAGCTTGCTCGTCGGGGACGCGATGTTCACCGACGGCGCTGACGGGCGCCCCCTTGTCGCGTTCCGCTTCGGCGTGATCGGGCGGGGCGAGGGAGCCAAGACAGGGGCGGGGCAGGGCGCCTTGATTGACCGTCAGCACGTGGCCCAGATGGCACTGCGACGGCGAAGCTCGAGGAGGCAGGGCGCTCTTCTTTTCGGCGTGGCGGCCGACCGCCGCCGACGCGTCCTGCGCCGACGTGGGAGCGGCGGCCCTCCTGGCCCAGTTGGCCCGCCATTCTGAGCCGTGTCGCGACGCGGCTGTTGGCTGCAGGACGCCGCGGCAGATGCAGCGGAGAGGGCGGCGGGCATCCGACGAGAGCGCGATGAAGCGCGCGAAGAGCCGCGCCCACGTCGCCGCAGGAGAGGCCGCGCCGGCGGACATCCTCGAGAATGGCGCAGAGCTGCTTCGCGCCGGCCGGCGCCCTGAGCAAGCGAGAGAATGATGAGTGGTTTGGCCGAAGAGCGGTTCGCTTCAGTTCAATCGTTTGTTGATATTGCAGTGCTGGCCGCGCCCGCGCTGCCCTCCGCCCAGCCCGGCGCCCCCCCGCCTCCGCGCGCGGGCGGGGCGGGGGGCGTTCGTGGGGGGGCGGGGGGGGGGGGCTCTATATGAATGTGGTGCCGTCCCGAATGTAACTCGGTTCATGCGCGCGCTCCCGTCTCAAGCTCCCCCTCCCTCATCTCCCGCTTTCGCCTTGTCGACTGGCCGTGGGGACTTGGTCTTGCGTGGGCCAGCGCGCGCGTCGCGTCCGGCCCCGAGACCCACCCGCCGAGGCTTCTGTGCTCGAGGAAAAGTGTTGTGCGATGTTATGCTGGCGCCACCGTCCGCCGCCGCCTCCCTCGCGCAGGGCGATGTTGACGGGCGCCTCTAAGTAAAACGATGTTGCAATCAACCTTCCCTCCGAGATTCCCCCTCGCAGGTCCCTATAAGGCTTTCGTTCACATTGAGGAAACAACCCTGTTGGAAGACACTCGTCTGCAAATAATGCATCGTGCCAGCGCAGCATTCCTTGGACATCAACGCCGCGAATAGACGTTACGTTACTGTTGCGTCTTGACGATCCTGAACCGCGCCATATCACCGTTCCTGGGACTCCAACAGTGCTAATCAAGGTGTCTGTTGCGCCCTGTGCCAAAACGCCATTTCTGGGACGTTACCTACAGTGATATTTTCGCATATGGTATTTCTTAAGACGAGATGGGCGGCGCAACAGCGAGAGAAACATTTTGAAACATACCATGTCAATCCGCGAAGTTCTTGCAAACTTAGAAGACGAATGCGCGCGGCGCCATTGCGAGATCTGTGCATTTGAAAAAGCGCGTTTTGTGGGCGCTTGGAGGGCGGGGGCAGGAGAGGTTTGGAACCAAACATCCCCCAAGGTGGATTGGAAAGGGCGGGGTTCGAACCCCCTCCCTTCTCCCGTGGCGGGGGGGGATTGGACCCCCCCCCCATCCCCCCCTCCTCTCTCCTTATCGGACCGGCGCCGGCGTCGGCGGCGGCTGGCGGCGGCGGCGGGACGCGTCGATGAAGACGACGTGTTCCCTTTCTGGGCCAGCGCCGGCGCTTGCGGCGGCTGGCAGCGGCGGCGGCGGCGGCGGGGAGCGTCGACGAGGACGACGGCGACGGCGATGACGACGACGACGACGCTCCGCCACCGTGCCGTGGTTTTGGGTCAAAGTCCTAACGGATGCCTCCTGGGTTCTCGTCGGGGGGCTTACGGGGACCTGTGAAGGGCATTTCTGAAGCCTTTTGGGCGCCTCTTAAGCGTCTCTTGGGGCCTCTCTGAGGTGGTGGTGGTGGTGGTGGGCTGTGGCGGTGGTGGTGGTGGTGGTTGTGGCGTCGGAGGTGGTCGTGGTGGTGGTGGTGGTGGTGGTGTGGTAAATGGTGGTGGTGGTGTTGGTGGTGGTCGTTGTGGTGGTTGTGGTGGCAAGCGGTGGTGGTGATGGCGGTGGCAGTAGTGGTGGGTTGTGGCGGTGGTGGTGATGTGGTGGTTTTTGGTGGTGGCGGTGGTTGTGGTGGTGGTGGTGGTGGTTTGGGGTGGTGGTGGTGGCGGTGGTGGCGGTGGTGGCGTTGTGGTTTGTCGTGGTGGTTGTGGTGGTGGTAGTGGTTGTGGTGGTGGGTTGTGGTGGAGGTTGTTGTTGTAGTGGTGGTGGTGTGGTGGTTTGGTGTGGTGGTGGTGGTTGTGCTGGTGGGTGGTGGTGGCGGTGGTGGCGTGGTGGTTTGTCGTGGTGGTGGTGGTGGTGGTGGTGGTGGTCGTCTGTTGTGGTGGTGGTGGTGGCTGTGGTTGTGGCGGTGATGGTGGTGGATGTGGTGTGGTGGTTTGTGGTCGTGAAAGTGGTGGCGGTGGTGGTGGTGGTGGTGGTGGTGGTGGGTTGTGGACGTGGTGATGACGATGGTGGTGGTGTGGCGGTTTGCAGCGGTGGTGGTGGCGGCGGTATGTTGTTTTGGTGGTGGTGGTGGTGGTTGTGGCGGTGGTGGTGCTGCTGTAGGTGTGGTGGTTTGCGGTGGTGGTGCTGGTGGTGGTGCTGGTTGTGTGGTGGTTTTTGGTGGTGGTGGTGTGGTGGGTTTTGGTGGTGGGTTGTGCTGGTGGTGGTGGTGGCGGTGGTGGTGGTGGTGGCGTGGTGTTTTTCGTGGTGGTTGTGGTGGGCTGTGGTGTAGGTGATACTGGTATGGTGGTTCAGCTGGTGGTGGTGCTGGTGCCGGTGCTTGTGGAGGGTGGTGGGTGGTGGTGGTGGTGGTGGTTGTGGTTATGGTGGTGGTGGTGTGGTGGTTTGTGGCGGTGGTGGTGGTGGGTTTTGGTGGTGGTGGAGGTGGCGGTGGTGGTGATGGTGGTGATGGTGGTGGTGGTGTGGTGGTTTGTGGTGGTGGTTGTGGTGGTGGTTGTGGTGGGCTGGTGGTTTGTGGTGGTGGTGGTGGTGGCGTTTTTGGTGGTGGTGGTTGTGGTGGTGGTGGTGGTGTAGTGGTTTGTGGTGATGGTGGTGATTGTGGTTGTAGTGGGTTGTGGTTGTTGTGGTGGTGGTGGTTGTGGTGGTGGTGGTGGTGTGGTGGTTTGTGGCGGTGGCGGGGGTGGTGGTGCTGGTGTGGTGGTTTGGGGTGGTGGTGGTGGTGGTGGTGGCGTTGTGGTTTGTCGTGGTGGTTGTGGTGTGGCTTTCGGGTCTTCCCGCCACCGTGTGTTTGCTTTGCGACCAAGTTCAAATGGATGCTTGTGGGGTCTCGTCAGACGGGTCTCGGGGGCGTCTGAGGAGTATTTGTGAAGCCTCCTGGACCTTCCTACGGGCCTCTCGGTGGCTTTTGGGAGGCGAGGGCTCGATGCGGCGCTTTCCCCTCTGCGGCCGCTTGGCCCTCTCTGGTCATCGTTGCTGCGTCCCCGCCGTCGGCGCTGCTGGCCGCTGGCCGCCGCCAGCGCCGGCGCTGGCGCCGGCGCCAGGGGAGGGGGAGGGGGTGGGGTTAGGACCGCCCCGTCAGTGCAGATGTGATGTCTGTGTTTCTCACGCTCACCGGTCACGGCGATGCGCTGTATACACACAGTCCCCTAGCTACGACCGTAGCATGCTCCAAAATGGCCGTGTATATAACGCTATGCAAACAGGCAAACATAGCAAAGACGAGACAGACTCTCTCAACTCCTATCGTGACCTACATGATTTACACGGGGAGGCCGTCGAAGTTATCGTGCTGCCACTCGTCGTAGTAATCGGCGTGTCCGGTCGGCATCTCGAAATCGCCTAGGTCATCGTCGTAGTTCACCGATGGGAAAAATGGCTCTCGTTCAACTCCGTCGTCCAGGATTTCCTCGCGGCCTTGCTGACGCCGCTTCTTCGCGGAGGTGAAGGTAGGATCCTGGACCAGACGCCAGTAGCCTCGAGACAAGAAGTCTGCCAACACGGACCGAGCTGCGCACGATCTTTTCGTCAATCCGTCGGCTGGCATGGCCTGCGAGTGGACGCAGCGCAGCTCGGTGGCACCCTCCTCCATAGCTCGTTGGAGGCCCAGCGCCTCGAAAGCAGAGCGGCGGTCGTCCGCGCCCAGTCCTGCGCTCACGCTGCGGGCCAGTGCGTCGTACAGGCCCTTGCAGTCGGTGGCCATCGTAGCCTGCGTCAGCTGTAGTGAGCTTCGGATGTTCCTCAGGTTGACACCGCCGTGCATCAGCTCCGTCCAGGCCATGCGTATGTCGGTCAGATCCTCGTGGCACATGTTTCCCGACTGCACCTCACATCCCAAGCCTGACCGGGTCACTCGTGGTAGCTTCTTCGAGGTAAATTGCAGAGGGGATATGGCATGGCTTTCTCCGTGTAGCAGAGCTCGTTCGATCCCGATGATGTAGCCTCCCTGCGATTTCCCATCCTTTCGGACGGCCCAGGCCGCGTCATGGAATGCGATGAAGATGGGATCCTGGACTGCTCGGAATCGCACCGGCACTCGAGCTGTCTCGTGGGCCGTGCGGATCACTTTGTTGATGCGAGTTACGAGCCCGTGCGTCGCGGTATTGGTGTATGGCGAAAGTATGCTAGTGTCTGCTGCAATGAGGCTCTGGCCCTGAAATGCCAAGTACTGTAGACCTCCGATGGCAGCTCGACACGCGGTGATCCCGGGGGCCGGCAGGGCGTCGTCGGCTCTCCCACTTCGACCACTGCAGCCTTCGATCATTTCCACCTTCGCGGCGGCCGCGGCGAAGGAAAGCGAGATGGAGTAGTCAGCCAGCTGCGCCACGTCCACGCCCGCTTGTCGGAAGCAGCCTGTCTCCCAGGAACCCCACTGCCAGTAGTTGCGCAACTCCTCGTGCTTCTGCTTCGCCAGGTCGTTTTTCTCCCTGATGCCCAGCACGAAGTCGTCCACGTGCACGAACGCGATGGCGACCAGGTGGCCCTTGTCGTACAGGGTCCACACACACGGCTTCAGCTTCATGGCTACCCAGCCGGACTCTGCCATGCGCCTTGCGACCTCGTCGAACCTTTCCTTCGGGGCGTCGCACAGGCCGTAGGCCTTCTTGAGTATCTGCACGACCTCGTCCCCCTTCAAGTCCATGGCCTCGCGCAGCTCGCGGACGGGTTCCACGAACATGCCTGTGTCGGAGCTCTGAGACTGCAGGAAGGCCGCCTTCACGTCGCCCTTGTGGAGGCGCAGGAGTCAATGCACCCCTCCGCACCACCAGGTTCCTGCCCTTCTCACCCATCCTGCGTGCTTCCCACTGTCTGCTCCTTGCCTTGACATTCTGTGTTCCGCAGCTGTGTTATCGTCAATAGACGGCTCAGGTGTAGCAGAAAATGAGCGCGCCCGCGCGCGGCCGCGCGCGTCAGCCGGAGGGCTGGCCTCCTCCCTTCAGTGTTATCGCTGTTGCATGCTTAATGACATTACACTTTGTTGCCAATGTCTTCTGTGAAGCATTGATTATGGGACACCATCGGGACATATAGCAGGGATAACGAATATCCA